ATGGGGCAGCCCTGGGGGTGTGTTTGGCTCCCCAGATGTTACCTTTGGGAGACGTTGTTTCTTCCCTTCTCTTCTTGTCCTGTTTACAGAGTTCACCTGTCCTTCCAGCCATGATGAACATCACTGCTGGTGACCTTTTTCCTCCTCCTCATGCCATCTGATGGCAGTGGCTGTGCAGGTTGAGGTCTATAGAAGAACCCCACAGGAGGGAAAGGAATGCAGGTTCATTTGTCATTGTTTCCATCAGAAACCTGTACTTCCCCAGCCTGGCTTGACGTCCTACCTGGGCACACTTGACTCCAGGTCCCTCATGTCTTGTGCTTGGTGTTCCCAGATATACTTTGTATGACTTTACCCTATTCTATTTGTTACCAGCAAGTTACTATAACCAGCTTCTGTTCCACAGTGGCTGTCACTCAAGGGCATGAATACAAGAGGATGGGTACTTTGGAATCATCTTAGAGTCTGCCTACAACAAGGGTGACTTTGGGGACCACCTGAATGCATGGCCTCTCACAAGGCTATGGCCGAGAATGCAGAGACTAGCATAAATGAGGAGTTCAAGTCCAACAAAGTTCGTGATCACTCCCTGGGAATCCAGATCAAAATCATGATGCCAACGTTGTTGCAGCTGGACACGGCCTAAGGCTCCACCAGTCAGGTGACCACATAGCAGACTCTGACTAAGGATGTGGAGACAGGGAAGCTAGGACAGTGCTGATGCATTTGGCACAGGCGATGTGAGTGGCAGTCCTGTCATCCACCTGCCAGGAGCAGTAGCCATAGCAGTCCTTGCCTCATGGACCAGTGGTGTGAACAGTGGCATCTGTGACCAGCACCATGGACAGTGGTTCTTATTTGGGCCTTGACCTAGGGTGGGTCTATGGATTTTACTCCTGGCTGTTGGCCTCAGGACTGTTCTGTAGCCTTGGCTGAAATAAATGACGCATAATACTCTAAGTAAACATATACATGATATACATTTACCTATAAATATATATACTCATAAAGTATAAATATACTTTGCTTTATACTTCTTATATTTATCTTAAAAGACATTTTAGCATTTATTAAATATAATTTATATTTTATATTACACATTTAAAATGGATATTATACATCTCCCTGACTATATATATACATATATGTATATAACAAATATGTAAATATTATAGTAAATATATATTGTTTCAGTTAAAACAACTTGGACTCTGTTGTTTAAAACAAAGAGTGAGAATCTATCTACAATCTATCCCTTGTAGAGAGCAAGGATTCAGTACTTTTTTCCATTTTCATGGAGTTAGATTTGACATATAACATTTTATAAGTTTAAGAGCACAACGTTTTGATTGGATACATTTGTATACTGCAAAACGATTACCACCATAGAGTCAGCTACACCTGCATCATGTCTCAGTAACTTGTGTGTGTGTGTGTGTGTGTGTGTGTGTGTGTGGTGCAAACATTTAAGATCTACACTTAGTATCTCAGACATTTTATGTTGAGCTGATAACCACTTCCTCTGTCTGCCCCCTGATGTGCCCCATGGGAGAGAAACTGTTTCTTCCAGCATATCTTGCATTTGTCTTCCTAAAAAACACCCATTTAAATATGGATGTAAGACTCCTTCCCACAAGGCGGGCTCTCATCAATGATTTCAGTGATCCTGGTGGAACCCCAGGATTGCTTGTGGCTTTGTTACAAAATACTCAGGTGTCTCCCTCGACCTACAATCTTAGAATGTGTGCGTGTGTCCGGGAGGTGGGGGGTCAGGAATCACTTATTTAATAGGCCCCACAGGAGTGGCTGAGGCACAGCCATGTGGGAATCCTGTTTTATGTGCTTGTTCCTCGGTGTGTGATCTGAAGACCAGCAGCAGCACCAACCTTGTTATAAACTCAGAATCTCATGCTCTATTGCAGACTGTGTAGCTCTTCCTAAGTCCAGGAAATTTCTATGCACACTGAAGGCTGGGTCTCCCTGGTCTATGTGCCTTCTAGGTGTAGAACCAGAACTGTTCAGTATGTGCGTGTGCTCTGATCAGCTAGCTTAGCAATGAAGAGTCCAGGGTTTGGTCCTGTTCCTTTCTCTTCTATGGCCATCAACCCCTTGGTGACCAATCCATGCTGAAGGCTCTAAGCATCATTTATATGGGGTCACCTCCATATCTATTCCTCCAACCTAGATATTTCTCCCACCCTGTACTCTATATCCAGCTGGAACTTCACTTGCATTTCTAATAATCTCAGATTCGACATTCCGAAATTGGATGCCTATGATACAGCCTACCCAAATGTCCTAACTTCCAAAATCTTCCCTGTTTCATTCAAAGACACCCGCCCTTTATTCTTGCAGTCTGAAGTATTGGATGCTGTCCTTGATTCCTCCTTCTCACAACCCAGAAGTAATACATTAGGACATGCTGCTAAGTTCATCTTTAAATGTATCCAGAACATACGCGCGCGCGCACACACACACACACACATACACACACACAATAACCAAGACTACAGCCACTTCCTGTTATTTTCTCTCTTCAAACCCCAAAATAAATCCAACATCCCCCCCTCCTGGAAACTGCACTGGCTTCCTACGGTTTCCATACTGGTCTCCTGCCCTTCACCTCTCGATTCTGCACAGCAGCAAACAGATGCTTCTAAAGAGAATAGTCCCAGGTGGACCATCTGTTCTACACCATCTAGACTCCACATGTCACTCAGAGAAAACTCAAAAGCCTTCTAATCCTAAGGCCTAGACATCTGAGCGCATTTCACATGCTCTCGGCTCCAACCACAGAGGCCTCTCATCCTTCCTTGAACAAGGACACGCTCCTGCCCTAGTGCGTGTGCCTGGAGGTTCCCCTGCCTGGAAAGAACTCCCTGAGACATGCTTTTCAACAATTCCTTGTGTCCTGCACATCTCTCAGAGGTCAGCTTCCCAGTGAGGCTCACACTTACCACCCTAGTAAAGTAGCCACCTTCCCTGTCCCCGCACAGGTAACTCTCTAGGTCACCTTCCTCAAAGCACCTATCAATTTTCAATTTATTTTTGTATTTTTAAAAAAATTTTTTTTCAACGTTTATTTATTTTTGGGACAGAGAGAGACAGAGCATGAATGGGGGAGGGGCAGAGAGAGAGGGAGACACAGAATCGGAAACAGGCTCCAGGCTCTGAGCTGTCAGCCCAGAGCCCGATGCGGGGCTCGAACTCACGGACTGCGAGATCGTGACCTGGTTGAACTCGGACACTTAACCGACGGCGCCACCCAGGTGCCCCTATTTTTGTATTTTTTTAATGATTATATTTGAGACAAGGGAGACAGAGTGCAAGTGGGGGAGGAGCAGAGAGAGAGGGAGACACAGAATCTGAAACAGGTTCCAGGCTCTGAGCTGTCAGCACAGAGCCCGATGCGGGGCTCGAATCCATGAACCATGAGATCATGACCTGAGCCGAAGTCGGATGCTTAACCGACTGAGCCACCCAGGTGCCCAACCAATTTCAAATTTAAATACTTTCCTTATTTACCACATTTATACAATATACAGTTGACTCTGAATTACACTGGTGCGAACTGTGCACATCCACCGATGTGTGGACTTTTTTACAATAAGTGCTGTCAATGCACTTTCTGTTATGTTTTCTTACTACTGTCTCCAGCCTAATTTATTGTAAGAATACATGTTACATATCCACGTAACATACAAAATATGTGTTAAATGACTGTTCATGTTTTCAGTAAGGCTTCTTATCAACACTACATTATTAGTGGTAATATTTAAGTTTCAGGGGAGTGAAAGTTATACTTAGATTTCTGACTGCTCAGTGGGGTCATTGCCCTCAGTCCCCACATTGTTTCAGAGTCAAGTGGAGTCTTTCTTCACCCCTAGGACATATTCTCCACAAGACCAGCACGTTTGCCTCTTCTTACTGAGGTGTCCTAGATGAAAAAAATAGCAGGTCCTGTATGTGGCACACGCATTATCAGTGGAACTATTGGTCAGCGGAGAGGACCTCTGTCTTCTGGATGAGACTCAGGCACAGCCAGTCCGTGGCAGCTCCCGCAAAAAGTGCCCCCACCTGACCATCAGTACTGCCTCTACTTTCCCCCAGGGCTGCCCCTCCCTCTCTCTGCTCAGCTCCCCCCTCCCACAGCGTATCCCCTAAACAGCACAGCACACAGTTACAGTCCTGTCTTCATCATCACTGTATTTAGGTTCTACGGGGCTCTTTCTCCGCCACACAGAAATCTACATTAGACCCTGCTTTATAAATCCATGAACGTGGATGGGAGCCAGAACGTGATGGGAGCATCACCAGAACTAAGGGCAGGGAGAGGGGACAGAGAGGCAGGGGAGGTAGAAACTAACTGAAGTTGAAAAAGGATGAGAAACTCTTAGATTCCTCTCGACCTCCAGAATCTAAAGAATAATCCAGAAGACAGCTCTAGAGGGAGGAGATGGATGGATCTGAAAATTCATCTCTCCAAAGCCCATAGACTCCTGTGTGCAGGCCTACATTGGCCTGTGGAATGACAGCCCAAAGGACTCCTGGTGCCGTAACCACCGGGGTCACCCGGGAAGAATGAGACAGGAACTTGGACACAAGAGCAAAAACAGGCCTGATGCTCCACAGAAAGAAGAAAAAAAAAAAAAAACACTCAAAAGATGGGGCTGAGGGCACAACCCAGGATGGAGCCTGGGCTGACCCAGTCACAGGAATCATTTGCTGCCCAAGATCCTGGTGACAGGTGACGGCCAAGTCCCTGTGGTCACAATCCTGGTGAGACAAGTTTCCACAGAGAAGACAAGGACAAGGAGCAGAGACAAGACCCAGCTGAGGAGTGATCATGTCACGCCAATGGTGCACTGAGCACCAACTGGACACAGGCCCTGTCCCTGCTCGGCTCCTCCAGCCCTCTCCTGTGTGCACCTGCAACAGACACAGCACAGGAAACATGCGGGTTCTGGAAGGTTCTCAGTCCTTTTATTTATTTTCTCGTGCAACTTTAAAAATCTTCTCTTTTATTACCTCGTCATCCCCGCATACCCAGAATTACAAAACACAAATTCATATCTGGATTCTCATTTTTAGTAGGGAAGTAAGGAGTCAGTACTCGGTCCAACATGAAAAAAAGACGGGCATGGAGATGGTCCAGCACTGACTCTGCTGGAACAGGAAAGCAGGTCAGAAAGGGAACATGAATCAGTACGGGGAGGGGTCATGGTGGGCATGGGGGGCCAGTCTCCTGAGTCCTCTCAATATGCTAATAGGAATGCAGACACATTGACACCATCTGCAGGAAGTCAGGGGATCTCGATGTCACCAAGTGTGAACAGATCCTGTATTGCTCAGTCCCTGGGGGGCAGCGGGTCTCACACTGTGAAAAAATTAATCATGAACAGATTTAGATCAGTCACATTAGTGCCACATTCTCAACAGCCCCCCACATGTCAACATGTCCTTAGTGCTCCCACCTCTCCCCACTTCAGGCCCTCCAGAGTCTTACCATTAAGAGCCATTAGAGACGAATCAGAGCCCTGGGTACTGTCGTTGCCTGGGGTAGAACAAACAGGACATGATCAGAGCCACAGAGTTGAGAATAAAGGAGCAGCTATGGGGGGGGGGGTGGCAGTGAGCTCCCCATGGGGTCCTGTCTACACTATCCCAGGTTTCAGGGATCACCTCCTCCATACTTACGTGCAGCATGAAAGTACCTTGGTCCTTCTCCTCCTGTGGAAGAAAATAGCATGTTAGACACCTGGGACAGCTGGGCCATGGGATCCTAGAGCAACCGCCTAATTCTAGTTCACAATAAAGTTTCCAGAATTCTGACTGAAGACCCAGGACAAGATTGGATACATGACGAAAGAGGTGTGTGTGAGGGGGTGGGGTGGGGGGTCACAGGACAACCACTTGCTGGAGGTCTGTCCGGAGCAGGGACCTTCCTCTCTGTCCTGTCACTGCTGGGAATCAGGTCCCTGTCTCCAGAATTACCAAGTGAAAATCTGTTCTTCATTTTCACAAGTGCTTTGCTACAAAGTGAATGTTAGTAA